AAGAAAGAAAGAAAGAAAGAAAGAAAGAAAGAAAGAAAGAAAGAAAAAGAAAGAAAGAAAGAAAGAAAGAAAGAAAGAAAAGGTTCACACATCTTTTGCTCTGCCTGAGCACTGTGACACAGCACTGGGCAGCTCTTCAGTCATTTTTAGGCAGGCAGATGACAGGGAATTTCTTGTCCAGTGTTTGCTGTGGCTGATCTGCAGCGGTTGGACCTTCACAACTACAACACTGCCCCGGAAGTGTGGGATGTTTCACCAAGAACCTCCCTAGGAAACAGCAAGGAGCACCTTCGGAGCGGGGAAAGCGCCCGCTCGGATCCGCCGGCAGTGATTGCTCCTGACAGCTCAGCCTTTTGCTAATGGTTTGTTTCACTGTTACATTTCAGGGACAATTACAGTAAATGAAGAAAAAAATGTCATTTGACATCAGACTGGTTGAGCAATACAAGGGAAAAATTCTATAGAGCTCAAGTCTGTTCTCTGGAAAATATCTTGGGTATGCCTGGGGTTTTCTTGTAAGTCACAGTTTTGATTTCTGTTTGCAAAGTCTGACTGCTCTGAGTTGCTTCCAGTTTAAAATTGTGTGTCTGAGGAGATTCTGGCTCATTTGAGAGGCCTTAAGCTCATGGATAAAGGTATCCTTGTGTGATGGATAAAATCAAACTAATGTGCAAGTTTTAAACGTCACGTGTCTCAAACACAAAATGACTACAGTGAAGAACAGCTGGACAGTCAACACCTGAAAGAATTTAAACTTATGCAGTTAACAGGATAACCTGACAATGCCATGCTCAGCGTATGAAATATTTCCATATATATTTAATATAGCAGTCAACCTCTGAATAGAATATAAATTTTGAACAAGAATCTCCTCTGCTGACTTAAGTCATCAAAAAATGTCTGTCTCTACACACAGACACGGCTGCTCCTGAAATTAAGATTACTGCATGACTTCAGTCTGAATTTTCTCGCTTTTTTAAATCTGACAATCGGAATAATCTGTTACTGTCAAGTGTACGCACGGAGCTACATTTCCAACTGAACTACAGTTAAGGAAAATCCTTTTATTTGCAATGCCCTAGATTCCTTCACTGAGCTAGTTGCTATTACATGTCAGCAAGATGCCATTTATCAAACTTTTCCCATTTTGCTCCCAGATGTTCAGCAAAATTCTCTCTCCACTCGAAATTATTTTCCCCTGATATTCTAGAAAAACCGAAAAAAAAAAGTGCATCTCAAATATCATTCCATAGGAATGAAAGAGTGAAGTCAAACATATTATCTCATGCCAGGCCAACACAGCCCTGCCTGTTTTAGCAAAGAGTAAATTCAGTAAGATGACTCCTGGATAAATAAATATTTTAAAAGCACTCAAGAGGCTTTTTCCTCAGGAAGTCTGAATGCATCGGTTCAGCTGGACACGGCAGAATATTATCTGCCCTTGGTATCTGGGAAGTTGGCCACCAAAAGGGCAGACAGAGGGTTAAATCTACAGCATCTAAAAAGCCCTGAGTGACAAAACTTGGCAAGAGCTCTGCAGACCCCAACCTAAATTTTAATCAGCATGCATGGACATTTAAAACATGACGGTGGAAAAAAAAAATAAATCAGGCCAGCCAGTACTTTGTGGTTTATTTCTCTGGCAGGCTCATCAGGCTCTTTGTGCAGATCTCATCTTGTTAATATACAGTAATTATATCTTAAACATCTCCCAGTTCCTAGAGTAGCTGTCACATTACTGCTCTGAGCTGTTTACACCCATGGGGTTTCTGTCCTTCAGCTTCTTCACATTGGTTTCCACTTTGTTTTCTAGGGAAACGTTAAAGAACGTTTAATTTCAAGCTGCCTCCTGGAAGCAGAAGTGCATGCAGGAAGTAGATGAGCACTCAGATCTCCCAGATTAATAATTTTATTAGGACTAAGGCAAGATTTCCATAGCATCACCTCCCACATGCAGACGGCATTACGACACGCCAGCATCTCCAGGACCAACGACAGGGAAAGGTGAGAGGGTGTCCTGTGCCTTCACAGGGAGACCTCTTGCTCCTTCCATCAGCTCACAGAACCACAGAATATCCTCAGCTGGGAGGGACCCAGAAGGATCATCCAGTCCAACTCCTGGCCCTGCACAGACACCCCAACAATCCCACCCTGTCCCTGAGAGCGATGTCCAAACCCTCCTGGAGCTCTGGCAGCCTTGGG